ACTATTAACTAGCGACTGCTAGTACTATTAGCTACTGCTGGTACTATTACCTAGCGACTGCGAGTACTATTAACTAGCGACTGCTAGTACTATTAGCTAGCGACTGCTAGTACTATTAACTAGCGACTGCTAGTACTATTAGCTAGCGACTGCTAGTACTATTAGCTAGCGACTGCTAGTACTATTAGCTAACTACTGCTAGTACTATTAGCTAGCGACTGCTAGTACTATTAGCGACTGCTAGTACTATTAACTAGCGACTGCTAGTACTATTAACTAGCGACTGCTAGTACTATTAACTAGCGACTGCTAGTACTATTAACTAGCGACTGCTAGTACTATTAACTAGCGACTGCTAGTACTATTAACTAGCGACTGCTAGTACTATTAACTAGCGACTGCTAGTACTATTAACTAATGCAGCATATTAAAAATATAAAAAAGTCAGTTAAATATCCCTCGTTATTTAATTCATTACATCTTTCCTACCTTATTTTCAGTCGTATTTTTTAACGTATTACTTGGCGTAACGTAAGAAATCCATTCCAATCTTTTACAGTAATTTCAAAATGACAGACCCAATTTCAACCATAATTGAATTTCAAATCGGGTCCATCTTTTCGAAACACCCTGTATTACATTACTGGATTTAAACCATCCTCCAGAAACGAGAATATTTTTTTGGAAAAATCTTTTGGCAACCACTATGTATGTTTCTTCAGTGTAATGGAGGAATAATTGGATAATGTGACTCAAACATAACTATAGCTAACTAAGATGGAGTTGTGTTTATACATGCACCGAGAGCTAGCTTTAATCTATATTTTAAGAATTAAAGTACACTTTGATAATAGTGTAGAGATGAATTACAGTCATGACCTCCACGTGTATATCCAGTGTCGTTTTTAACCTACCAAATTAACCACACTTTTTTAAGGGTTATCCTAGGTAATTTACACTATGTCTGATAACTGTACTTAAGTGTACCTGTGCCTATATACACTTACTAATGCAACAATGTAAACCACATACAGCTGCACCGGTGGAGGTCGAGCTATAGCTTCTGGGCCCTGCCTTCAACATTTTGATCTTAAACTATTGTAAGTGACCGATCTGGTGAGGCTATTTTTTTATATATTTATTTACTACAAGTACACATACATGGTATACAGACCATAGCTGACAGCAATGACACACTACTATATAGAAAGCCTCTTGTTATGCAGAGCATTTCGCGCAAATTAGGTTAGTTTTGTCCCAGGATGCGACCCACACCAGTCGACTAACACCCAGGTACCTATTTAAACTGATGGGTGAACAGAGACAGGGACAGCAGGTGTCTTACGGAAACACGTCCCTAACGTTTTCCAGCCGTACCTGAGGAGATTCGATCTCCGGACCTCAGAGTGTGACCCGAGTGCACTAGCGATCCAGCTAAGGGACGAAATGTATTCCCGTATCTTCTTAAAATGGGTTACCTATACAAATATTACACTCAACACCAATGTATGTATACTTACTATGCTACCAATGTATACTTACTATGCTACCAATGTATACTTACTGTGCTACCAATGTATACTTACTATGCTACCAATGTATACTTACTGTGCTACCAATGTATACTTACTATGCTACCAATGTATACTTACTATGCTACCAATGTATACTTACTATGCTACCAATGTATACTTACTATGCTACCAATGTATACTTACTATGCTACCAATGTATAATTACTATGCTACCAATGTATACTATGCTACCAATGTATACTTACTATGCTACCAATGTATACTTACTATGTTATCAATGTATACTTACAATGCTACCAACGTATACTTACTATGCTACCAATGTTAACTACTATGCTACCAATGTATACTTACTGTGCTACCAATGTATACTACTATGCTAACAATGTATACTTACTGTGCTACCAATGTATACTTACTATTCTACCAATGTATACTTACTGTGTTACCAATGTATACTTACTATGCTACCAATGTATACTTACTATGCTACCAATGTATACTTACTATGCTACCAATGTATGCTTACTATGCTATCAATGTATGCTTACTATGCTACCAATGTATGCTTACTATGATACCAATGTATGCTTACTATGCTACCAACGTATACTTACTATGCTACCAATGTATACTTACTATGCTACCAATGTATGCTTACTATGCTACCAATGTATACTTACTATGCTACCAGTGTATGCTTACTATGCTACCAATGTATACTTACTATGCTACCAATATATACTTACTATGTTATCAATGCATACTTACTATGCTACCAACGTATACTTACTATGCTACCAATGTAAACTACTATGCTAACAATGTATACTTATTGTGCTACCAATGTATACTACTATGCTAACAATGTATTTTTACTGTGCTACCAATGTATACTTACTATGCTACCAATGTATACTTACTGTGTTACCAATGTATACTTACTATGCTACCAATGTATACTTACTATGCTACCAATGTATACTTACTATGCTACCAATGTATGCTTACTATGCTATCAATGTATGCTTACTATGCTACCAATGTATGCTTACTATGATACCAATGTATGCTTACTATGCTACCAACGTATACTTACTATGGTACCAATGTATACTTACTATGCTACCAGTGTATGCTTACTATGCTACCAGTGTATACTTAATATGCTACCAATGTATACTTAATATGCTACCAATGTATGTATACTTACTGTGCTACCAATGTATGCTTACTATGCTACCAATGTATACTTAATATGCTACCAATGTATGTATACTTACTGTGCTACCAATGTATGCTTACTATGCTACCAATGTATACTTACTATGCTACCAATGTATACTTACTATGCTATCAATGTATACTACTATGCTACCAATGTATACTTTGCTACCAATGTATACTTACTATGCTACCAATGTATACTTACTATGCTACCAATATGTACTTACATTGGTAGCATAGTATGCTTACTATGCTACCAATGTATACTTACTATGCTACCAATGTATACTTACTATGTTACCAATGTACTTACTATGCTACCAATGTATACTACTATGCTACCAATATATACTTTGCTACCAATGTATACGTACTATGCTACCAATGTATGCTTACTATGCTACCAATGTATACTTACTATGCTACCAATGTATACTACTATGCTACCAATGTATACTATGCTACCAATGCATACTTACTATGCTACCAGTGTATACTTACTATGCTACCAGTGTATGCTTACTATGCTACCAGTGTATACTTACTATGCTACCAATGTATACTTACTATGCTACCAATGTATACTTACTATGCTACCAATGTATACTATGCTACCATTGTATACTTACTGTGTTACCAATGTATACTTACTATGCTACCAATGTATACTTACTATGCTACCAATGTATACTTACTATGCTACCAGTGTATACTTACTATGCTACCAATGTATGCTTACTATGCTACCAGTGTATACTTGCTATGCTACCAATGTATACTTACTATGCTACCAATGTATACTTACTATGCTACCAATGTATACTTACTATGCTACCAATGTATACTTACTATGCTACCAATGTATACTATGCTACCATTGTATACTTACTGTTACCAATGTATACTTACTATGCTACCAATGTATACTTACTATGCTACCAATGTATACTTATGCTACCAATGTATACTTGCTATGCTACCAATGTATACTACTATGCTACCAATGTATGCTTACTATGCTACCAATGTATACTTACTATGCTACCAATGTATACTTGCTATGCTACCAATGTATACTTGCTATGCTACCAATGTATACTTGCTATGCTACCAATGTACACTTACTATGCTACCAATGTATACTATGCTACCAATGTATACTATGCTACCATTGTATACTTACTATGCTACCAATGTATAATTACTATGTTACCAATGTATACTTATTATGCTACCAATGTATACTTGCTATGCTACCAATGTATATTTACTATGCTACCAATGTATACTTACTATGCTACCAATGTATACTTGCTATGCTACCAATGTATACTTACTATGCTACCAATGTATACTTACTATGCTTCCAATGTATACTTACTATGCTACCAATGTATACTTACTGTGTTACCAATGTATACTTACTATGCTACCAATGTATACTTACTATGCTACCAATGTATACTTACTATGCTACCAATGTATACTTACTGTTACCAATGTATACTTACTATGCTACCAATGTATACTTACTATGCTACCAATGTATACTTGCTATGCTACCAATGTATGCTTACTATGCTACCAATGTATACTTACTATGCTACCAATGTATACTTACTATGCTACCAATGTATACTTACTGTGTTACCAATGTATACTTACTATGCTACCAATGTATACTTACTATGCTACCAATGTATACTTACTATGCTACCAATGTATACTTGCTATGCTACCAATGTATACTTACTATGCTACCAATGTATACTTACTATGCTACCAATGTATACTTACTATGCTACCAATGTATACTTACTGTTACCAATGTATACTTACTATGCTACCAATGTATACTTACTATGCTACCAATGTATACTTACTATGCTACCAATGTATACTTACTATGCTACCAATGTATACTTACATGACTTAAAACAATGTATATAAATTTATACTGCCCATAAAATCATTTGTAGATTTCCTGAATAAAGCTTATCTTACCGTCTGTTAAAGACAGTCATTGGTAAGTTTTAGGCACAGATACACATGGATATAATTATCATACATGGTATATTATTATTATTATAATCAAAAGGAAGCGCTAAGCCACAAGGGCTATACAGCCATACATGGTATAAATTACCTAGGATACACCCCCCCCCCCCAAATAAAGGTCAGAAAGTGATTTATTTCCACTGGGGAGATGACCAAGCAACTGCATCTAACGTTTTTCCCTCGTACTAGATGACACTCAGCTTATATGAGCTTAATTACGTCGGTCAATGGTAGTCCGGAAGCTAATTACCTGTCACAGGTCAAATTAATTACAGCCTGTCGACTGCACGTGGGTCATTAAGGCTGCAATTCACCTGTACATTAACATCAAAAAATACTTTTAACCTTGAACTACCGGTGACACAACACTCTGGGTGTATACACAGTGAAAGCTACAAACCTTAAGGGGTATATACACTATTTCCAGACATGAAATTAATATATCAAGAGAACATACCTTGTGTGAGGCCTTCACAGCAGCAGTATTGAGCCCCTGCTGCCACCTACCGGATTTTCTCTCACTCATCTCTCCTCACATTATACCCTCTAAACTACCACAAATACTAATATACTGGTAAATATTCCATCAAGGTAACATTTTCTCAGGGTTTTTTAATGTAATGTTAGTGTATGAGGCAGTAATGACTAAGATGAATCATGAAGATTGGCAGCAGACGACACTCATCACCTCTGATGCTGCAATTTATTAATATCGACCCATTTTAAGTAACTTTTTTTAGGTATAGGTACACATGAATACAGTTATAATGCCTAATAACATATTTTGTAAATTATCTAGGATAACCCAAAAAAGTTACTTATTTTCATAGGGGTTCTTGTAATATTTTGATGTTATTATTTAGGGACAGGTATAGTTATCATACATAATAACATGTATGTAAATTACCAGAGATAACCCAAAAAAGTCATAGTGACTTATTTCCATTGTGGTCGTTCGAGGTGAATTAACATACAAAAAAGCCGGTATGTACAACGGTAAGTTTATTCAGGTACAGGTATACATAAATACAGTTACATAAATTATCATACATAGCAGTATATATGTAGATTACCTTGGATAACCCCCCAAAAAAGTTTGTGACTTATTTCCATCGGGGTACACATATGTACCAATTTATCTTAATCCCTAGTTTATGGTTAAAATATTCATGGTAGTACAGTTTACAGATAAAATATTAAGATATAATGATCCACCTGTTGTCTGCAAACTTAAAACTTTATTAAAAGAAACATTACAGCACAGTATGTACAAGTTATGATGTACTTTATTACTTGGGCAGAACCATATCCAGTTTTTATCCAACTATGTATAGTAAGTAAGTAAGTTTATTCAGGTATACACAAATACAGTTACATAGAATTATCATACATAGCAGCATATGTGTAGAGAACCTAGGATAACCCAATAAAGTATAATTGGTATCCATTCATTCAGTTCAATGTAGTGTAATTCATTTTATGCAAATTTCGGGTATAGTTACCGATTACTACTGGGCATAACAGTTTTATTTTAATATGTACCCCATACCCATCCTGTGGGGGTAGTTAAAAGATTACACAGGTACATAATGGGGACCCCAAAGCTATGGTAGCTGAGCAAGGTATAAAGGTAATGAAGTCACAAGTTACAAAGTAATGGAGTCACAAGTTACAAAGTAATGGAGTCACAAGTTACAAAGTAATGGAGTCACAAGTTACAAAGTAATGGAGTCACAAGTTACAAAGTAATGGAGTCACAAGTTACAAAGTAATGGAGTCACAAGTTACAAATGTAATGGTGTCACAAGTTACAAAAGTAATGAGCTCCAGGTAGATCTGGTCACCATCATGACAAGTTACAAAGGTACTTACAGATTACAGGTACATAATGGGTCCAGGAACTAGGCCCCAAAGTTTTGATAGCTGAGCAAGGTACAAAGGTAATGAAGTCACAAGTTACAAAGGTAATGAATCATGTAAGTAAATTTACTTATGTCTGCAAAACAACCACTGTTTACTGTGATCTTATTGCATTACTTATGTCTATGTAGATGAATAGTTCAGAGAACCGAGAAGTTGATAAATTAGACACATGTGCAACATTTTGCTACACAGTGGCTTCATCAGCTCATACAGAGGAGAATGGTGAACAACAGGAGTAGTTTGAGGTAATCAGTCCCTCAGCCTGGAGTCGATGTGATCAGTCCATCAATCTTGATGGACTGATCACATCGACTCAAGGCTGAGGGACTGATTACCTCAAACTCCTTCTGTTCTTCACCATTCTTCACAGCACTGGTTTGGTAATAGTGTTGTGGATGAGTGGAACAAACTCCCCAGTACAGTTATAGAAGCTAAAACGTTGTGTAGTTTTAAAAATAGGTTAGATAAATACATGAGTGGGTGTGAGTTGGACCTGACTAGCTTGTGCTACTAGGTCAGATGCCCTACTCTTTCCTTAAGTGAATGTGACCCAACCTAACTAGGTTAGGGCATTGGCTTAAGCCGGTAGGAGCCTTGGACCTGCCTCACATGGGCCAGTAGGCCTGCTGCAGCGTTTCTTCTTTCTTATGTTCTTATTCTCCTTTGTATGGGCTGATGAAGCCACTGTGTGGCGAAACGTTTCCTCATAAAGATACCCAAAAGATGCACATGTGTCTGATTTATCAACTTATACATGGTTACAATCATGAACAAATAAAGTAATGAGCAATTCACACGTCCACACCCAGTCACAATTGTAATGAGTTATTGGTGGGCATAACAGTGACATTAATTTACTTGTTACAATACATACAACCCATGTAAGTACATAACATAATAAGAACATATTGAAGGAGTACTGCAATAGGCCTACTAGCTCATGCTAAGTAGGTCTAACTCACCCACTCGTATACCCAACATTTGTGTACCTATTATTGGAAGTTGATCCTCTCTTTAATGTTAGATAAGAGATAAGATTTCGTTTGGATTTTTAACCCCGGAGGGTTAGCCACCCAGGATAACCCAAGAAAGTCAGTGCGTCATCGAGGACTGTCTAACTTATTTCCATTGGGGTCCTTAATCTTGTCCCCCAGGATGCGACCCACACCAGTCGACTAACACCCAGGTACCTATTTGCTGCTAGGTGAACAGGACAGGAGGTGTAAGGAAACGTGTTGAAATGTTTCCACCCGCCGGGAATCGAACCCGGGCCCTCCGTGTGTGAAGCGGGAGCTTTAGCCACCAGGCCACCGGGCCTGGTTTACCCAGGCCCGGTTTACCTTATTCTTAGTACTATTTCTCTTTTTTATTGTAACTGAGTTTTCACACAGTTGAGTTACTTACTTATTTTAAGGTTTAAATAATAAGATATTACAAGGACCCCAGTGGAAATAAGTCACTTCGACTTTTTTTTTGGGGTTATCTTAGGTAATTTATACTATGTATGATAATTGTACTTAAAGCTATCCAGATTTCTTGCCTCGTTGATCTTGCCTGGGAGTTTGTTCCACTCGTCAATAATTCCATTACCGAACAAGTACCATCCTTTGTCCTTTCTATATCTAAATTTATTTAACCTAAATTCATTGCTGGGAGCCCTCCTATGGTCTTGTTAGATATGTATTTCCCACATCATTTATATCCCCCATTTTTCTGTTTTCCATTTGCTGTATTGCAAATTCTTAAGTACATGTACAAGATATACAGACCGTAGCTGACATCAGTGACATACTACTATATAGAAAGCCCCTGGTTGTGCAGAGCATTTCGGGCAACTTAGGTTAATTTTGTCCCCAGGATGCGACCCACATCAGTCACCTAACATCCAGGTCCCTACTGACTGCTAGGTGAACAGGGATGGCAGGTGTCTTAAGGAAATGCCCAATGTTTCTACCTGTAACAGGGATTGAACAACAGACACTCAATGTGTGAGCTGAGTGGGCTGCTAACCAAGTTACATTTGGATTTATCAGTTTAGCACTGAAATTGATTATAATAATAATGTCTTCAGCTGTGCAAGCATATTTCTGTTCTCTAATTTACCTCATTGCAAGTGAAATGAAGCCTAAAGAAAATGTTCAGAATATTGCATGTATGTTCATTTATCTAAATTGATTGTCAATCATGTATATTTATACCTGTCAAAATCTCATTTTGTCCCTTGATATAGTAACAATTATTGGTGACTAAAAAATAAGCTATACAATATAGTATGTTTATTTAGCAAATTCAGGCAGGCCCCACTTTACAGTGCTTTGTTTTACAGCGTTTCACTAATTGAGCAGTTTTCAATGATGCCATTCTTCGTTTATTCAGGCTTCCTACAATAAATATATTAACCACTCACTATAAGCTAAGGACAAAAATATTATAAGTAATATGTGTACCGTATATCCATTTCTTAGGCCTAGCTACATTGCTCACTTAATATATGACAGTGTAAACATGTTATCACACATTTATGTGCATTTGAAAGTGAAAAAAAAAGCTATGATTCACTATACAGCAATTTTCACTCTACATCAGCATCTCAGAACCTAACCGGCTGTATAAGTGTGGCCCTCTTCTATCCTTCAAGGGAGGTTCTTTGGTGTTGGTGAGGAGCTCTTGATTCAAGAAATTTGACCTGCCCTTTCCTTCCTTGGAGTGAACCTTAATGCTTCATATCCCCCCCCAGGCACTTTGCCCTCTATGGGTTTAGCACTCCCCATGAATGTAATAATAATAATTTTTTTTAACATACCAGTTGTCTCCCACTGAGGCAGGGTGACTCGAAAAAGGAGAAAACCTTATAAAGCTTTTCTTCTTTTTAGTAATTTATACAGGAGAAGGGGTTACTAGCCCCTTTTTTCCCAGCATGTTAGTTGCCTACCATACCGCGGGCGGGGCTTGAACCCGCAGTTAGAGAGTCATGAAACTCCAAATTGACATGTTAGCCACTGGGCCAGCTAGGTACTAAGATTCGTCCAACTAGGTATATTTATACACCTTAGGAAGGTTAGCATAGGCACCACTGTGATCACAAATGCAAGTTTTTACAGACGTGGTATGGTTTGTTTGCAGTTGTGTCATCATGATTTCATGAGTCATTTTAGTTGCCTCTTATAACACACATTTCTTATGGAGGAAGGATTCTTTTCCACTTTTCCCTTGGAGAAATAATAATAAGAATAATAGCTACTGTATCTGTAATATTAACCAAGTAAAGCCAATGGAAAGCATTCACAAGTTGGTGGCAATCTGCATATTTTTTACACAAAACATCGAGGGCACACAATTATGCTGCTCAGAAGCTGCAGAATGTACATCCAATTTACTGTAACAAAATATTTTAGTAGCTCCAGCAAACAAACAATAGACATTGGAGTAATTAACATATAAACTACTACGCAGCTCTTGTTATGCTGAGCATTTTGGGTAGTTTTAAAATTACTGAAAACTTATAATTACTAGACAGTGATATAATAATTTATTTGAAATTTACAGTTTTCCATATTTGACATTTATTATTTCATTACGGTATTTAGTTTTTGTATTGCATGTAATTCCACATGCACTTAACATTTAATTATGTTACAGATTGGTTATGTGGATTGAATCCATTTCTGGAATTCTATGAATGGAAAAGATAATAAAAATTAGGGGCATTGCTAATATTGCTGCAGCATCAGCCTCTATTGCCTTGGCATCTTTACACTGAAGTGCCATTGAGCTGTGTTATGAAAATGGCTTCTCAAAATTGCTTCCTCTACTTTGCATATGGCTCGAACCTTCTCAAAAAACGCATTCACGTAAACAACCCCTCTGCAAAAATGATCAGTGTGGCCAAACTCAAGGTATGACAACTCAACATTGTACATGTACTCTATATGCTTTTTAACCCATTCGCTGTCATGATCCCCCAAATTAAAAGTACACCTACCATCCAACTTACGACCGAGTTCGGTTCCGAGAAACCAGTCGTAAGTCGAAATGGACGTAAGTCGAACTTTACTACTGAATATCAACATCACATTTTTGTAATGACTTTATTTTATTGTTTTATTTTGGTATTTCATGTTTTACTTTACTTTTTATGCTGTTAGTACTGTATTTTATACTGTAAGGTTTAGGATAAACACTGTGTACAACACAAATAGTTGTTTATTTCCCAGAAATTTGGCAAAAAAAGAACACTGCCATAAGTCGGGTGGTTGTAAGTCGAGCAGGTTGTAAGTCAGATGGTAGGTGTACTAACAGTTTTGCTGTTTTATTTTTTAAATTATCTTCTGAAAGTAATGACACCAAAAATGCAAAATTTGGTGGAAAACTTATGGAATTACATAGGAGCAAAGTTGACAGTCTGGATACAATTTATGAATTGGCAGTTTTTCCCACTTTACAGCCAGTTTTAAACTAATTACAAATCCTCAGTTCAGCCCATTTTTTTTTATTATAGATGAATCGTGTTGCCATTTTTTTACCATCTATAGTTTATTGTGTAGCATCTTCCATGATAATGTACACTTGGAAAATCCTAGTGGGACTAGTCCCAAATCTGCACACAGAAATCACTCCCTACGAAAGCAAAAAAACTTGCCAGGCGGTGCAATATCTCCCCAGTGAAAAGCAGGAGTGCCATGAGTGTGCTAAGAAACAACACAATAAGAGTCAGGGGCCCTAGATTGTTCAACTGCCTCTTAGCATACATAAGGGGGATTACCAATAGACTCCTAGGTGTCTTCAAGAGGGAGCTGGACAGACACCTAAAGTCAGTACCTGACCAGCTGGGCTGTAGTTTGTATGTTGGCTTGTGTGTGGCCACCAGTAACAGTCTGGTTGATTAGGCCCTGATCCACTGCGAGGCCTGGTATTGGACCAGGCTGTGGGGACATTGACCTCTGAAACACCCTCTAGGTATACTTCAGGTAAGCCCCACAAATGTAGGGTTTTGATCTGGGCTAAGGTTCTGTTGCTGGGGAAGACCACCTTTAAGGCTGCCTTGTGATGGGTAATTGGATACTGGGAAGGGGATTATTGCCCTGAAGTTAACCAACTTTTTTTTTTTTTTTTTTTTTTTTTTGCATTAGGAAGCATTCGTGTTAGACTGTTCTCTATTGCCTCAGTCCTTCATAGGTGGTAGACCTGGGCTATGAAGCTCATTTATTTTGATTTTTACATTGCCAATGAGTTTAGTGATTTCCATGAATAAAGCTCCTGGAGAGCGAAATGTTGCCACAATAAAATGTGACATTAGTTGCATCTGAGTCTGTTTACCTAACATTTTATATGTAATTCTACCATTATTACTAATAAAATTCATGTCCTATGAATATTACTTTTTAATTTATACTACATGTATTTCAGTCAGTATACTATAATGATTATAATGATGCAGCTACATACATTGACTGCAAAAGACAGTGTGTGATTGGATATACTCTTTGAAGGATTACAGATTGGACTTCATCCTCTTCAGTCAGAATTGGCAAGGAGCTACAGCAACAATTGTGGAAGATCCTGGTAATTTTGTGTATGGAGTGATCTGGGAAATTGGTAATGAGGATATGGCCAAATTGGATAGGTAAGTACACTAGTAAAGAAAGCTAAAGAATAACAATTACAGCTACTGTATTTATAAAATACTAGTTAATATACTACCTCAGAGCTATGGTACAGTATTATTAGAGGTTATTAATGACAAGAGTGACTCTCAAAATCGTAATAACATGAGTGCAAACAAACCACAGAACAGGTGAATCTTAATATTCCAGGCCTGTGAGTAAGTCACTCAGCCAGCTGTCTCTAATAAGAGTCATCCAACTATAGGTATATTTCTATACACCATAGGGAGGTTAGCATGGGCCACCACTGTGACCACAATTGCAAGTTTTTACAGATGAATTTCCCATCTTATTAGAGCCAGCTGGCTGAGTGGCTTACATACTGACCTGGAGTTTTAGGATTCACTAGCCATGGATTCAAACCCCACCCATTCCATGGTTTATTTAACAGCACGAGTTATGTATCTCTCACTGGGAGTTTACTTTAATCCCTATCTTAGGAACTAAAGCACCTTTGACTAGTCTTGTACTGGTGACAAGCAGCTTTAATAGTCCCCCATGAGTAGTTGATAGACTTTAACCCTTAAACGGTCCAAACAAATCGACGTTCAAATTCGTAGTGCTACAAAAGTAAATCTACTTTTTTTTACATATTTTCAAATGTAACAAAAAAAAAATGTAGATATAAGTTTTTTTTTACACGTTTTCAAATGTAAAACAAAAAAGAAGATCTACATTTTTTTTACATACTTTCAGATGTTGAAAAAACGTATATATACGTTTGGACCATTTAAGGGTTAAACCTAATTAACCAAATCAAAGAGTATTTTCACATAAACACTGCAACATCTGTGACAAATGTACTTTGGTACAAAAATTAGCATAAATGTTAGAGAAATTAAAGGTGTTGCTCATGACAAAGAAAGTTCAATAATGCTGCATCTGTAATAATTAAAAATGTTATAAAATTCAGCACTGTTCTGTAGACAAATCTCTAGTTCTATGTAAATAGATAAAATAGGGAGGGAAAATTTGTATAGGTACTTTGTCACTGCAGGATCTATGTTCAGTGTAACATACTCATCTTTGTGGTATTGTGTTTGTAACTTTTTAAGAAGAAATCAAAATTATCACTTGTTAGAGTTAACATTTTTATTAAAGGTAACCCAATAGCACTATTGCCACTTAGGTAGGTAACAATAAGGAAGAGTGTCTTCCTGTACCTGGCTGAAATGATACCTGGAACCATCTATTTTACAAAATCTACACTGTACTAGACACTACACTGTCTATTGGATGTTTGTCTATGTCTAATAGTCAATTGATTAAACAGATGTAGCCTACTTATTCAAAACTTTCAGCATAGCAGATTTTTGCTAAAGCAGACACCTCTTCCCCCCTTTTACCAGTAATCTGTTTTATTGAGAGTATACTGTACAGCCTCTCGTCACTTAGCAACGTATTCGTTTACTGATGACTCGGGCTTACGACAGGTTCTCTGACCAGTATGCAGACCTACATAAAGTATATTTGAGCTGATTTCCTCTATTCTGTTTATTACAATGTACAGTAAATTACTGTTATAAATGATGAGGGGAAAAAAAGGTGAGTGGTGCGTTGAGGTATATGTGGAGTCAAAAAACGTTATCTATGGAGGCAAAGAAGGGCATGTATGAAAGTATAGTAGTACCAACACTCTTATATGGATGTGAAGCTTGGGTGGTTGTAATTACTGTTATAATTGATGAGGGAAAAAAGGTGAGTGGTGCGTTGAGGTATATGTGGAGTCAAAAAACGTTATCTATGGAGGCAAAGAAGGGAATGTATGAAAGTATAGTAGTACCAACACTCTTATATGGATGTGAAGCTTGGGTAGTAAATGCAGCAGCGAGGAGACGGTTGGAGGCAATGGAGATGTCCTGTCTAAGAGCAATGTGTGGTGTAAATATTATGCAGAAAATTCAGAGTGTGGAAATTAGGAAAAGGTGTGGAGTTAATAAAAGTATTATTCAGAGGGCAGAAGAGGGGTTGTTGAGGTGGTTTGGTCATTTAGAGAGAATGGATCAAAGTAGAATGACATGGAAAGCATATAGTAAATCTATAGGGGAAGGAAGACGGGGTAGGGGTCGTCCTTGAAAGGGTTGGAGAGAAGGGGTAAAGGAGGTTTTGTGGGCGAGGGGCTTGGACTTCCAGCAAGTGTGCGTGAGCGTGTTAGATAGGAGTGAATGGAGACGAATGGTACTTGGGACCTGACGATCTGTTGGAGTGTGAGCAGGGTAATATATTTAGTGAAGGGATTCAGGGAAACCGGTTATTTTCATATAGTCGGACTTGAGTCCTGGAAATGGGAAGTACAATGCCTGCACTTTAAAGGAGGGGTTTGGGATATTGACAGTTTGGAGGGATATGTTGTATATCTTTATACGTATATGCTTCTGAACTGTTGTATTCTGAGCACCTCTGCAAAAGCAGTGATAATGTGTGAGTGTGGTGAAAGTGTTGAATGATGATGAAAGTATTTTCTTTTTGGGGATTTTCTTTCTTTTTTGGGTCACCCTGCCTCGGTGGGAGACGGCTGACTTGTTGAAAAAAAAAAAATGGTGCACAGGTGACATTAATTAAAACAATATCAAAGTTAGTTGACACAACCATTCTAGTATGCTCCTTGCATACTAGTATGCTCGTTTACCGATGTGGCTCTTAGCAACTGAACTCCATCATTCAGTGAGGAGAGGCTGTACTGTAGTACTACAAGTTATAATACATATTTTTATTCTTAGTGTGGTTGTCTTCCAAACCAGTGGACCAAGTCCACTAGTTTAGAAGACACCTGGATGATCGTGAAAAATTAAATTATTTAGAAGTTTCATACAGTCATCAGTATCATATACTCTCACCCCCTATTAGTCCATTAATTAGATGGTTCACTGTACAGTATTTTTATATATATGCAGTAATGCCTGAAATGCACAAACTTTTTTCTAGTGACTTTCTTTTGTGCTTAACAATATTTTCGTACATGTAAAATACGTTTTTCATACTGCACAAAGAAATAAAATTTGTTTGTTTGATTATTTTTTTTTTTTTTATGAAAAATCATAGTTTTCAAGTATTTTTTTTGTTAAGAAACGTTAAAATTTCTAAATAAAATTCTGTTTTTTTCCAGGCAGGAAGGTGTGAACAATGGTGTATATAAAGTCTTGGAGGTAGATGTCGAGACTCCTAATGGGGAGTCCGTCAGAGCACGATGCTACCAACAGCTTATTACATTTACAGAAGATAAAAGGCCATCTTCAGTATATAAGAATGTTATTATTCAAGGGGCTCGTGAAAATGGTCTTCCAGAGGTATGATTTACTATTTTAATACCCACGTAAGTGTAATATCTAGATGTACATACAGTAAACCCTCCATTCAGTGGACTAATAAGGGCTGGTAATGGCAGTTGTGGTGGATAGAGACAAGGATGTTTTGCCATGATTATACTTGGAGAGGATTTTGGGGGTCAACGCCCCCATGGCCTGGTCTGTGACCAGGCCTCGTGGTGGATCAGGGCCTGATTAACCAGGCTGTTACTGCTGGCTGCACATAAACTAATGTATGGACCACAGCTTAGCCGGTCAGGTACTGACTTTAGGTTCCTGTCCAGCACCTTTTTTAAGACAGCCAGGAGTCTGTAGGTAATCCCTCTTATGTGCCCTGGGAGGTAGCTTAACAATCTTGGGTCCCTGATGCTTATTGTCTCTTATCATACTTGTGGCACCCCAGCTATTCATTGGGGGATGTAGTATCTCCTGCTAAGTCTTTTGCTTTCATAGGGAGTGATTTTTGTGTGCAAACTTGGTACTAATCCCTTTAGGATTTTCCAGGTGTATATTATCATGTATCTTTCTCGCCTGTATCCCAGGGAATACAAGTCAAGGGACTTTAGAGATTCCCGCTAATTTAGGTGCTTTCTTGTACTTACGTGTGCCGTGAAAATTCTCTGTATATTACCCAGGTCAGTAATATCACCTGCCTTGAAAGGCACTGTTAGTGTACAGCAATATTCCAGCCTAGAGTGAACAAGCAATTTGAAGAGAATCATCATGGGCTTGGCATCCCTAGTTTTGAAGGTTCTCATTATCCATCCTATCATTTTTCAAGAAGATGTGGTAGATGCATTGTAATCTTTGAAAGTGAGATCCTGTGACATTATCACTCCCGGATCCTTCACAATAGTTTTTTACTCTATTGTGTGGTTTTAATTTGTTTTATACTCCAATATAGTTTTAATTTCCTCAAGTTTTCCATAGCGAAGTAATGAAATTTCTCTTCATTGAAGTTCATTTTGTTTTCTGCAGCCCATTTCAAGATTTGGTTGTAACAGTAATGGACAATTCTGCAACAGAATTTGCCCATTGTTTCCAAATCCATATTTCCAAAGTCTGTCAAACTATAGAGATCCTTTATATACAGTCTTTGCTGTACAGTGTGCATTCAGTAATTATCCTGAGAGGCTATAATGGTTTCATTTGTTGCATCATGTACAGGAGGGCCCCGTTTCTATGACAGTTATTTTTCCAACCCCTGATAAGCGAAAATCGCTGGTTGGTGGAAAAGAGTGGGTTTTTCTACAGTGCATGATAACGTCTTTTCACTATCAAACAAAGTGTTCAGTTCAGTTAGGCATAAAAAAACATATACTAAAGTACAGTGGAACCTCAAATATCAAACAGCTCCCAACTCAACCAATTATATAAGTGTATTTTTGTAAGTGCTTTTATAAGTGTATTTTTGAGGGTCTGAAATGAACTAACCTAATTTACATTATTCCTGATGGGAATAAATTCGTTTGGTAACGGCACTCGAACTGCCATCTGGAACGAAGAAAGTTCGATATTTGAGGTTCCACTGTAAAATAAATACATAATACATATAATATTTACCTTAAAATATGGTGCCGGTCACCCTCACCTTATGCAGCTGTTGTGCAAAAAAGATGGAAAAGCTGAAAAAGCATGTAATTATCAATGGCTCAGTTGTAAACTACCAAAAACGTGGAACACCAAAAAGAGGTTGCTAAATATGTGGGACTGTCCTGTAATTAAAATTTCAGATAAACTGATAGCTTAGTGATGATTTTCATTAAAACAATGGGCTAGTAACCCCTTCTCCTGTATACAATTACTAAAAAAGAGAAGAAGAAAAACTTTATAAAACTGGGTTGCTTAAATGTGCGTGGATGTAGTGCGGATGACAAGAAACAGATGATTGCTGATGTTATGAATGAAAAGAAGTTGGATGTCCTGGCCCTAAGCGAAACAAAGCTGAAGGGGGTAGGAGAGTTTCAGTGGGGGGAAATAAATGGGATTAAATCTGGAGTATCTGAGAGAGTTAGAGCAAAGGAAGGGGTAGCAGTAATGTTAAATGATCAGTTATGGAAGGAGAAAAGAGAATATGAATGTGTAAATTCAAGAATTATGTGGATTAAAGTAAAGGTTGGATGCGAGAAGTGGGTCATAATAAGCGTGTATGCACCTGGAGAAGAGAGGAATGCAGAGGAGAGAGAGAGATTTTGGGAGATGTTAAGTGAATGTATAGGAGCCTTTGAACCAAGTGAGAGAGTAATTGTGGTAGGGGACTTGAATGCTAAAGTAGGAGAAACTTTTAGAGAGGGTGTGGTAGGTAAGTTTGGGGTGCCAGGTGTAAATGATAATGGGAGCCCTTTGATTGAACTTTGTATAGAAAGGGGTTTAGTTATAGGTAATACATATTTTAAGAAAAAGAGGATAAATAAGTATACACGATATGATGTAGGGCGAAATGACAGTAGTTTGTTGGATTATGTATTGGTAGATAAAAGACTGTTGAGTAGACTTCAGGATGTACATGTTTATAGAGGGGCCACAGATATATCAGATCACTTTCTAGTTGTAGCTATACTGAGAGTAAAAGGTAGATGGGATACAAGGAGAATAGAAGCATCAGGGAAGAGAGAGGTGAAGGTTTATAAACTAAAAGAGGAGGCAGTTAGGGTAAGATATAAACAGCTATTGGAGGATAGATGGGCTAATGAGAGCATAGGCAATGGGGTCGAAGAGGTATGGGGTAGGTTTAAAAATGTAGTGTTAGAGTGTTCAGCAGAAGTTTGTGGTTACAGGAAAGTGGGTGCAGGAGGGAAGAGGAGCGATTGGTGGAATGATGATGTAAAGAGAGTAGTAAGGGAGAAAAAGTTAGCATATGAGAAGTTTTTACAAAGTAGAAGTGATGCAAGGAGGGAAGAGTATATGGAGAAAAAGAGAGAAGTTAAGAGAGTGGTGAAGCAATGTAAAAAGAGAGCAAATGAGAGAGTGGGTGAGATGTTATCAACAAATTTTGTTGAAAATAAGAAAAAGTTTTGGAGTGAGATTAACAAGTTAAGAAAGCCTAGAGAACAAATGGATTTGTCAGTTAAAAATAGGAGAGGAGAGTTATTAAATGGAGAGTTAGAGGTATTGGGAAGATGGAAGGAATATTTTGAGGAATTGTTAAATGTTGATGAAGATAGGGAAGCTGTGATTTCGTGTATAGGGCAAGGAGGAATAACATCTTGTAGGAGTGAGGAAGAGCCAGTTGTGAGTGTGGGGGAAGTTCGTGAGGCAGTAGGTAAAATGAAAGGGGGTAAGGCAGCCGGGATTGATGGGATAAAGATAGAAATGTTAAAAGCAGGTGGGGATATAGTTTTGGAGTGGTTGGTGCAATTATTTAATAAATGTATGGAAGAGGGTAAGGTACCTAGGGATTGGCAGAGAGCATGTATAGTTCCTTTGTATAAAGGCAAAGGGGATAAAAGAGAGTGCAAAAATTAAGGGGGATAAGTCTGTTGAGTGTACCTGGTAAAGTGTATGGTAGAGTTATAATTGAAAGAATTAAGAGTAAGACGGAGAATAGGATAGCAGATGAACAAGGAGGCTTTAGGAAAGGTAGGGGGTGTGTGGACCAGGTGTTTACAGTGAAACATATAAGTGAACAGTATTTAGATAAGGCTAAAGAGGTCTTTGTGGCATTTATGGATTTGGAAAAGGCGTATGACAGGGTGGATAGGGGGGCAATGTGGCAGATGTTGCAAGTGTATGGTGTAGGAGGTAGGTTACTGAAAGCAGTGAAGAGTTTTTACGAGGATAGTGAGGCTCAAGTTAGAGTATGTAGGAAAGAGGGAAATTTTTTCCCAGTAAAAGTAGGCCTTAGACAAGGATGTGTGATGTCACCGTGGTTGTTTAATATATTTATAGATGGGGTTGTAAGAGAAGTAAATGCGAGGGTTTTGGCAAGAGGCGTGGAGTTAAAAGATAAAGAATCACACACAAAGTGGGAGTTGTCACAGCTGCTCTTTGCTGATGACACTGTGCTCTTGGGAGATTCTGAAGAGAAGTTGCAGAGATTGGTGGATGAATTTGGTAGGGTGTGCAAAAGAAGAAAATTAAAGGTGAATACAGGAAAGAGTAAGGTTATGAGGATAACAAAAAGATTAGGTGATGAAAGATTGAATATCAGATTGGAGGGAGAGAGTATGGAGGAGGTGAACGTATTCAGATATTTGGGAGTGGACGTGTCAGCGGATGGGTCTATGAAAGATGAGGTGAATCATAGAATTGATGGGGGAAAAAGAGTGAGTGGTGCACTTAGGAGTCTGTGGAAACAAAGAACTTTGTCCTTGGAGGCAAAGAGGGGAATGTATGAGAGTATAGTTTTACCAACGCTCTTATATGGGTGTGAAGCGTGGGTGATGAATGTTGCAGCGAGGAGAAGGCTGGAGGCAGTGGAGATGTCATGTCTGAGGGCAATGTGTGGTGTGAATATAATGCAGAGAATTCGTAGTTTGGAAGTTAGGAGGAGGTGCGGGATTACCAAAACTGTTGTCCAGAGGGCTGAGGAAGGGTTGTTGAGGTGGTTCGGACATGTAGAGAGAATGGAGCGAAACAGAATGACTTCAAGAGTGTATCAGTCTGTAGTGGAAGGAAGGCGGGGTAGGGGTCGGCCTAGGAAGGGTTGGAGGGAGGGGGTAAAGGAGGTTTTGTGTGCGAGGGGCTTGGACTTCCAGCAGGCATGCGTGAGCGTGTTTGATAGGAGTGAATGGAGACAAATGGTTTTTAATACTTGACGTGCTGTTGGAGTGTGAGCAAAGTAACATTTATGAAGGGATTCAGGGAAACCGGCAGGCCGGACTTGAGTCCTGGAGATGGGAAGTACAGTGCCTGCACTCTGAAGGAGGGGTGTTAATGTTGCAGTTTAAAAACTGTAGTGTAAAGCACCCTTCTGGCAAGACAGTGATGGAGTGAATGATGGTGAAAGTTTTTCTTTTTCGGGCCACCCTGCCTTGGTGGGA